CAAGGGTTGCTTTTTCTGTTACCCACGAAAACCTGGTCACTTGGAACTAGTTTTCATCATCCATTGGTTCCAAAAACACAAGCAAAGACCCATTTATATATACATTGAACACAAACAACAGCTAAAGCTACAGTGTTTCTCTAAACTCTAACAATAGAGATGGCAATTTGAACCCAGCCTGACAGGAACCCGATCTCCCGACCCCGATTTAAGCAGTTTTTTTTCAAAAAATATCCCCAACGGGACGGGGATGATATTCAAAAATCAATCCCCGATCAGTTTCGAGCCAGGGACGGGAATATGTGTCCCAGCCCTATTCTCGGCCGGGCCCGGGCCTCGTCTTCGTTCTCATTTATCCCCAAAGTAAAATTACTATTTTACCCTTTTATATATATATAAACCAAACCTCATCTCACTTTCACTTCTCTCTTTCTCAATCTCATGCGTGTCTCAGTTCTCTCTCCCTCACTCACGTCTCTCATCTTTCTCTCCCTCACTCATTGACTCAGATCTCTTTGAGTCTCACTGCTTCTCTCCCTCACTCACTCACTCACTCACTCACGCAGATCTCTCTCATTCTCTCACTTCTTATCATTATCAACTTCATCCAGATCCACCACCACCACCGATCTGAACAAACATGAAGCCCTCTGTTACTATCGATCTGAACAGGACTAGGACCAGGACCGTGACCGTGAAGCCAGGACCATGACCAGGACTGTGAAGCCATCGATTTGAATAGATCGTGGTCCGATTGATGTCTTGATCAACGGACAGATCATGAAGCCCCCCATCTCTCTCTCTCTCTCTATATATATATATATGTTGTTGATTTATGAACAATTTTTTTTTTCTTTTCAAGTTGTTAGATATATTATATCTGTTGTTGTTGATGAACAATATTATATCTGTTGTGTGTGTGTGTGTTGAACAGATCTGTCGTGCATTATACATACAAATTAAATTTTTTTTTTTTTTGTTCTTGTGTTTGTATGTGTGCTGAACATATTTGTCGGGGATTTTTCGAGGTCGGAGAAACCCGATCCCTGTTAGGGGACGAGAACGGGAGAGTTAATGGGTTTCCCGCTAGGGATCGGGGGCGGGGGCGGGGATTTTTTTTACTGTCGAGTATCAGGGATGGGGAGTGTCATCGCCGGCCCCGCCCTGTTGCCATTCCGACCTAGCAATGGTAGATCATGAAATCACACTCATATGCAAGCTATGAAGTAGGGATGACAACGGGCTGGGGCGGGGCCGGGGATCACACTTCTCGTCCCCGATACTCGATGGTGAAAATTCCCCCGTTCCCGACCCAGATCCCTAACGGGGAACCTATCACTGCCCCCGCCTCCTAACGGGGATCGAGTTTCCCCGACCCTAAAAATTTCCCGGCAGCAAAAAAAAAAAAAAAAAAAAAAAAAAAAACAGTGGAAATCAAAGAATCAATCACCTACAGATCCTTGAACAACCAAAGCAACTGCAATGGTGAACATTCTCACCACAGAACAAACCAGTTGCAGAGCCAACCCCATTTTCCATATACTATCAAAAATCAATACTCCCCCAAACCTAACCTACTCAATGATGAAGAAAGAATAAAACAGTAATAAAAAAATGAAATCTTTTTATTGAATAAAATAATGAATAGTGATAATGGGATATCAACAACAAAAACAAAAACAAAAACAAAAACAGATCTATAGAAGAGAAAGTTTGAACTGGATTGATTGTGTGTGGATTTATAAATATTATATGTATTTATACAAAGAGATCTTCAAATTTCAACATAGATCCAAAGATAAAAGCCGTGAAGGAGATGTTACAATCAACAACGAGCGAAGGCGAGACCGCACCTACGGTGGCGACATGGATGGGCGTTGGTGCTTCGCTCAGATCCGCGCTGGTCTCACTATTTTGCATCGGTGAAACCTGATTTGGGATCTACATTGGTCTGTGATTGTGGCTTCAGCGAGAGAGAGAGAGAGAGAGAGAGAGAGAGGGGAGAGTAAATAGAGGCTATAATAAAAACTAGACAGCTATGAAAACCAAAACCAACCTCATTTTAGGAAGGAATGAGGGAGATTGGGGGAAGGGAGATCGGCATGATGGGAGGGTTTTAGAGAGAGAGAGAGAGAGAGGTGAGAGACAGAGATGGTGAGGCTCTGTGTGTGTAAGGTTGTGTTATGTTAGGGTTTGGTTTATATATATATAGGTATAATAGTAATTTCAGTTCAGGGAATGCGGTCGGGGCTAGGGCTGGGGCTGGGGAACGTATCATCGTCCTCGGCCCGAACATTATCGGGGATGCATTTTCGAATACCATCTCCGGACCGTTGGGGGTATTTTTCTGGAAAAAACCGTTCTAATTAGAATTAGGGGGCTAGATCCTCGTCGGGCCAGGTTAAAATTGTCATCCCTATTATGAAGCATGGGTACGGGTACGAGTACTGATACTAGTACAATATGGTACGTCAATACGGTAAAATTTTTTAAAAAATAGAGTACGGGTATTGCTTGGTATGCTTGTAAAAAAATATTTATTTTTAATTTAGAATAACGCAAAAAGTAATTAAATGATTTAATTTGTTAAGTTTCAACCTACAATTAACATTTAATGTCAAAAATAAAGGTATAAATCAAAATTAAATGTCAATATATTATATAACTTACAAACCATAGTTTAATTTTAAAATCATGCTAAGTATAAAACAGAAAATAAAAAAGAAATCTAGTGAAAGGAGTTTTATCTCTGTAGTAGAAAAAAATATTGTTTCAATTGAGGTACGGTATGGTTTGAGTATATATTAGGTATGTCTGGATACACCAAAAATTAAGAAGAAAAAACTTAGGTACATGTTTTATGTATCCGGTACGTATGCAGAAGTACCATACGAAATACCATACACCGGTAAGTACCCGGTATGGGTACGACATGTTTTTCGAAGTACCTATGCCTCATAGTATTCAAATGAACCGTGGTCAGCACCAAGGCAGTACAACCCGGGAAATTCTACAACCTATCGATCCTAGACCTGGTGATGGAACGCAACCACATCTAAATGGTGTACTATTATAGGGATCCAAAGGAGAGGGAAGTTAGAGAGTTGACAAAGAAGCTCAGAGAATCTCTCTCTAAAATGCTTCGTAGTTTTCCTATGGTGACCGGCCGATTGTTGAAGAATGATGAGGGGAAATAGATGGTGAAGTGTAACGATGCCAGAGTGAGAATGGTAGAGGCTAGGATTAAGGGAAGCTTGGAAGGATGGTTGGGGAGGGTGGATAGAGAGAAAGAACTTAAGCTTGTTCATTGGGAGGACATGTATCACAAGCCTTATTTTTGGTCTACCTTTTACATTTAGGTAAATTTTTGTAGATTTTGTCTCATTTTGTGATTGAATTCTATGCGTTTAAAATTTTTCTTAAATTTATTAAAGTTGGAGAAATTCTAATAGTCTATCCAAAATTTAAAAAATTAAGATTGTGCCAACCTCAAAAATTACTATTCACTCTTTCATTTGTTTTGTAGTGAGAAAATGAATCACCTCATCCTCTTTTTCCATAGAGACCTTCCATTCTTTGTTGAATGGGTAAGATTTTTTTCAATTTCTCAGTTAAAGTTGAAACTTCATAGTGAAAGTCCATAAACATAAAAATCAATTACAAAATTTATATGAATGGATAAATTTTTTCAAAAATAGTAAAATCGTATCCATTTATGTGTATTGTATGTTCCATTATGTGTAATTTTAAATTTAGTGAATCCATATTTATTCACAACTATGTTTATAAATTAAATTATATATTACATTGTCATGTAATGTGTGTGGTAAAATTTTCAGAATTGCATGTAGATTCAACTTGCCCAAGTCTTATTTTTTGCAATTTTACTAATGTCTAATGTTTGTTTGTCATTCATTTTTTTACTGAATGTATTGGTTCTTATATGACAAACAAATCTCTTCTTTCCATTAAAAAATAAAATAAAATCCTTCCATGGATTTTATGAGATTCTTCCCATTGCGACTCACATAATTTGAAGGTAGTGGTCTAGCAGTTGGCCTGAGCTGTACCCACCTCCTAATCGATCCCACTTGCGCAACTATGTTCATCAAGGCCTGGGCTGACATAACCCTAGGTGGCAAAATGCTCAGTCCCCCTCTCTTCCACCCATTGCCACTGCAAAGACCTATCAACAAGAAAATCAACCACAAGCCTTACACCGCCTTAATCGATCACTACAAATCATCTCTAAAGAAGCCAATTCCTATCAAAACCGTGCCGCAACATAAAACTGTAACATTCTCATTTACTCATGAAATGGTGCAATCCTACATGGCTATGGCTAAAACCTTAATGCCCCTTTTGAGGCTCTAGTCGGGCTTTTTTTGGGTTATTGTGAACAAAGCAAAAGGAAAAAGAAATGGCTTAACAAACATGTCAATATGTTTGGATATGAGAAAGGTTCTAGGGTTAGACAACGGCTTGTTTGGGAATTGCATGGTGTATAACAAGGTTCATGGGAAGGGTTTTGATGAAAATGGATTGTTGTGAAGAAAATGGACACTGTCTGGGAGCAAATATTCATTGCTTCCGTACTCCTTTCGTCTAAGCCTTGTTCTACTCCGAACGATGTCGCACGACCTACAAGAACGATTGTGAGCTACTCGGCGGGTGTGTTACTAGAAAACCCCTCCGATGGTCAAGTTAGTACTCAAAGAGAGAGAGAGAGAGAGAGAGAGAGAGAGAGAGAGAGGGAGGAGAAGACAAAAGAGAAGATTGTAGTGTAAAGAAAATCGCAGACCATAGAGGCTGTCACGACCCAAACCCGCCCCTTTAGGTTTAGTATCGTAATCGGCTAGTAATCCTCGGATTACCAAAGGCCTCTGACTTGAATATCATGAAATATAGGGGCTAGCGGAAGCAAATAGAGAAACATACATAGTCCATAGAGCTGTGTAGACATACATGAGACAGAAAATATTTAAAACTTATATATATATATATATCTATATAATAAAGCACAAAGGTTTTTGAAAAATGTATCAAAGTGTATATGAGATACATTTTGATCCAATGGCTGAGATCAATTCTAAGAATATATTAACGGTACAGATCATAATAAAGGACAAAATTTTTTGAAAATGTGAGATATATTCCCGCCTATCCACGTCTCTCTCTCCCTTTCTGTTCTCAGCCACGCTCTCTCCCTCTGCCTTCCACCTACCGACGTCTCTCTCAGCCTTCCCTCTTTATCTCTTTCTCCCTCTCTGTTCTTCTTCTTTCCGCTTCTCCCTCTTTGTCCTTCGCCGCTGCTCATCATCACCATAGCCGGAGAGCGACACAGAGAGCGACACAGAAAGCTCTGCTTAATTCGGACTCAACTACCATCTCCCCCATCAATCCTCGAAACTTCACTCAACCGAAGATCCAAACCTCTCTTCACTTCTCTCCAAAAGATAACCACCACCATCGTTTGATTCGACGGAAAGCTCGGTTCACTGCGAAATCTGTGATTGATTCGGCCACGATTGATCAACTAGGGATTCCGGAATCCGGCAGTTTCGACTTCGCATCGGAGCTCCAAGTTTCGGAAACCCAATCAGACCGTGTTGGAAGCTCAAGCCAAGGTCTGCACTGAAGAACAAGCTTTCAAGGTTTTGGACACCATTTTGAGATCAGGTCAATAAATCTCTCTCTCTCTCATACCTTTTATTTATCAAGGTTTTATCTATGTCGTATTGAAACAGTGTCCAAAATTGTATCGATTGTGAACCCGTTTGGAATAATATCTCTGACACTGTTTCATCCTCACCCAAATAATATCTATGTCGTATAGAATAATATACTCCAAATCTGTGTCGTATTGAAACAGTGTCCCAACCCAATACACTCCACTTTACTTATATATCTGTCTATATCATTCCAAATGCTTCTGGGGGAATTTGAATGTTTCTTAATTAGCTCATTTTGACAAATTTCAATTGTTTGCCAAATTCACTCTTACTTATGTTGGAGGCTGCATAACTCAATAATAAGGGCATAGTTGAGCTCGGTAATCTTTTGTTTTTGGGATAAGATTGAGAGCTAAGTAATTAATGAATCACTTTCTAAAGAGCTGCCTAATGCCATTAATTTCAGGTTGGCAGTGTGTTTTTGTCTACCCATTTTCCAAAATTTCAAATTCAGTAAACTCCGTGTGGATATAAATGAAAAGGAAACTTTTGAGGTATACAGCAAACCATAATCATTGGTCATAATGCATGTTCAACCTTCAATTGGTCTATGTAATCATAGTTTTATTTAATTGATAGAGGGAGCTTCAAAATCTGGAAGATGAACAAAATAACCGTGTTCGTGGCTTTCGAGAGGTGATCGATTTGATTTCTACTTCTCAGAAACCTGTTGTTGCCCACAACTCACTTAGTGGTCTGTCTCTTGAATGAACAGCTTTCAGTCAATTTAAACTATACTGGCCAACCTATTTCCTTACATTTATTGATTTTCCACTCCTATTTTTTCCTTGGTGCAGATTTTACATTCATTTATTCAAAATTCCTTTCCTCACTACCTTCTAGCATGGATGAGTTCAGGTGTTCTGTGCGTTTGGTTTTCCCCCACATACTTGATGTCAGCCATCTGATGAAGGAAATTAGCCTTATGAAAAAGGTGACCAACTTACCTGCAGCTATTTCGTCTTTAAAAAGACGGTTCTTTGCGCCTATTGATATGAAGATTTCTCACCAAGGCAAGTCACTCTTACATACTTGCCTCTCATGCTCACAGCATGATCTGTTTTAAGTAGTATATTGATTGGAAAATGCCTTCATGATTGGTTCTCTCAGTGACATGGAAAACCAGGGTATTTGCCAATATAGTTTCTGTCATCTTTGGAGAATTGAAATTGCTGCTAATTAATTGTATCTGATGTTTCACGAGGTAAACAGTAATTTAATGTTCCATTAACTGGCCAAGTTTCAATCTTTCAGATGATGCAAGCGAGAGCAATATCCATGGCCATGATGTTCTGAGGATAAGTGAATTGTTTGCTAAACTGTGTACTATTCTGAAAATTGCCCCTGTTAACTCACGAGGATGAAAATGGTCATTTGCCTTCTGTACTTGAAGACTATACAAACATTTTCAATCCTTGCTCCACAAGTTCCCAAGACCACACTATTGATGAGGATGTCTCGGTTTGGACAGACAACAGAAGAAAAGTTGACAGTAAGGATTTGGTTTTCTTGTGGGGATTTAGAGGTGGGATGTCTGCCAGAACACTCAAGAAACTTCTCCATGATTCCCGTGATGTGTTCTCTGAAGAATTTGATGTTCAACTGCTGGATAAGAGTTACTTAGATGTATTTAAGGTGTTGGATTGATATGCATTTGTGCTTATAGCATATTATTCTACTTCAATTGTGTCAGACATTGTTCTAGAAATAACCTTATTTTTCATCCTCTAAATTGTGTAGGTGAGGATGAAGAAGGGGAAGGCATTGTCTTGCAATCACGGTATCCGTGGGAAGGAAGTGACCGAGATTATGATTACGAGGAGGTATGTTTTATGTTTACTGTTATGAGAGACAATTTTTATGTTTTTCCAAAAATTCTGCTCAATATGTTTTTCCAATAATAAAATGTATGAGAGACATATTTCATTTGGATGGCTCAGATGAATCTAAGTGTATATCAATGGTTTAGATCAATTGGTGGTTCCCGCCCAACACTTTCTCCCTGATTTGCCTGTATATCTACCCTGTGTATATCAATGATTTGCCTGCGTATCTACCCTCTGTCTCTCCATACTCTCTGTCTTCCCATACCCTTTATCTACCTTCCCTCTCTATCTTCCTCTCTGCACTGACTCTTCCTCAGTATCTACCTTTCCTCTCTATCTCCCTCTCTGTCTCCCCATTGCCGAATTCCTTGCTCTGTTTCAATCTTCTGGGTGTGTTTTTGGGTTTACCTGCTGGGTTCAGTGGGTCTGAAGTCATGACTTTAATGAAAACATGACTTTAATGGGTTTATTGAACTGCTGGGCTTTTAACTACTGGGTTTATTGAAGAAAAGTATCTTATTGTGTTGAAATGTATTTTGAAGTATCTACTGTTGAAAAGTATCAATATGTTCAATATGTATCTTATTGTGAAGAAAAGTATCTACTGTTGGAAAAGTATTTTGCTAATTCAATATGTTCTTCTTCTAAAATGTTCTATTGAACTGCTGGGTCTTCTTCTAAAATGTTCTATTGAACTGCTGGGTCTTCTTCTAAAATGTTCTATTGAACTGCTGGGTCTTCTTCTAAAATGTTCTATTGAACTGCTGGGTCTTCTTCTAAAATGTTCTATTGAACTGCTGGGTCTTCTTCTAAAATGTTCTATTGAACTGCTGGGTCTTCTTCTAAAATGTTCTATTGAACTGCTGGGTCTTCTTCTAAAATGTTCTATTGAACTGCTGGGTCTTCTTCTAAAATGTTCTATTGAACTGCTGGGTCTTCTTCTAAAATGTTCTATTGAACTGCTGGGTCTTCTTCTAAAATGTTCTATTGAACTGCTGGGTCTTCTTCTAAAATGTTCTATTGAACTGCTGGGTCTTCTTCTAAAATGTTCTATTGAACTGCTGGGTCTTCTTCTAAAATGTTCTATTTTGCTAATTCAATATGTTCTTCTTCTAAAATGTTCTATTTTGCTAATTCAATATGTTCTTCTTCTAAAATGTTCTATTTTGCTAATTCAATATGTTCTTCTTCTAAAATGTTCTATTTTGCTAATTCAATATGTTCTTCTTCTAAAATGTTCTATTTTGCTAATTCAATATGTTCTTCTTCTAAAATGTTCTATTTTGCTAATTCAATATGTTCTTCTTCTAAAATGTTCTATTTTGCTAATTCAATATGTTCTTCTTCTAAAATGTTCTATTTTGCTAATTCAATATGTTCTTCTTCTAAAATGTTCTATTTTGCTAATTCAATATGTTCTTCTTCTAAAATGTTCTATTTTGCTAATTCAATATGTTCTTCTTCTAAAATGTTCTATTTTGCTAATTCAATATGTTCTTCTTCTAAAATGTTCTATTTTGCTAATTCAATATGTTCTATTGAACTGCTGGGTCTTCTTCTTGAATTTTTTTTTCCTCTCTCAGCTTTTGCCTTCATCAGAGCTTACTTCGACTGTGGATCACTCTGACCACTCTCACCGTTGTTTACTCTGCATGTTCAACCTTTCATTACAGTAATTTTTTTGTTCACTCCGGCTGCTCGACATCCTGCTCGGCTGCTCGGTTAGTTTATTACTTTGGTTCTTTTTTTTTTTCTTTTGTTATTGCTTTGGTAACGTTTGGTAGGCATGACTATTGAGTAAAACTGGAGAAGAAGAAGAACAAGTTGACTACATTAAAGAGTAGTTGCAAAGGATATGTTTTTTATCACCAAAATCA